TTTATTTTATTTTATTTTAATGTATTTGGTACAGGATCTCACTATGTAGCGCAGACTCATAGTGATCCTCCTGTTTTTAGCCTCCCGAGCACTGGGATTATAGGCATGTGCTACCTCACCTGGACTCAGTGGCTCAGTGTGCCCGGAGCCGGGGCCGGGGCTGGGACCAGCACTGCACAGCATGTCATGTCATGTGGTGCCAGGGATCGAATCCTGGTCCTGGTGCTTGCCTAAGCAGGTGCTTAGTCTGCTGAGCTATCCTGCCAGCCCTTGCTCCAGATTACTGGGTTTTATTTTGTTCTCTTGACTTAATATAATTTAGAGATTGCTTTAGATGAGTGTATAATATTTACCTTTAAAAAGCTATGTAACCTAACATGTATGTATCTGTGGTGCTATATAAAATTGTTTCTTCAACTTTAATAAAACTAGTGGAACTTAATTTTATTTGCTTTTTCACATAGAGCTTGGGATTGCTTTGTTCGCTGCCTGGATCATGCTTGTCTGGGCTCCCTTCTCAGTCATGTTATAGTAGCTTTGTTACCACTAATACAAATCCAGCCTAAAGAAACTGCAGCTATCTTTCACTACCTCATCATTGAAAACAGGTATTGTAACTGAAACTCATACTAAACATAGCAACTATTTTTTTTTTGTATTTTAATGTCTTAAAGTTTTAGGGTTACTGTTTGTAATATAAAACTATACACTTTTTTAGTTTTAGAGTTCATAAATATATTGAAATTAGCATGTAATTATATACAGAGTTGATACTCTTTCTGTTGTGTTATTTAAAACTCAGAAACTCATTTAAAATCATTTTTCTTTAAATTTGACAAGGTAAAGTTGAACTTACCTTTGTTCTCACTGTTAAAAGATAGTCCAAAAGGGGTAGGGATCTATCTCAGTGGTAGAGCATTTGCCTAGCATAGTGACCTAGATTTCAACAGCCAATACTGAAAGAACAACAAAATTCTTTATTGCCTGGGGTGGTGGTGCATGCCTGTAATCCCAGCATTCAGGAGGCTGAGCCAAAAGGATTGCTGTGAGCTCAATGCCAGCCTGGGCTACAGAAGGAGTTTCAAGCCCAGCCTGAACTGCATACGAAGACCTTGTATCAAAAAAGACAAAAAGAGTAAACAGCAACAACAAACACAATCAAATAGCATGAGAAAGGTTGAAGAGGATAACTACCTATTTTGTGTACCTTACCTCCTTTGAAATCCTTATTTCTCCATTGCATTAACCTTTGAACCAGTTTCCTTACTTTAGCTTTTAGCATGTTTCTTGATTTTGTTTCTAGAATGCCTTTCAAAAACATCTTTTGCCAGGCATGATGGTGCACACCTCCTAATCCCAGCAATCAGGAGGCTGAGGCAGGTGAATCTGGAATTTCAAGGACAACCTGTGCTACAAAGGGAGACCTTGTCTCAGAAAAAGAATAGAAAGTCTCTTGATTTACATCATTTCAGTATATAGTGATGTTCATGGTTTTCTGTTTCTAACTGGCAAATTTCATATTGCTTAACTTGACATTCAAGGCTTTCCGCAACTGTCTACATTTTAATTTAATTTGTTTTGTTTTGTTTGAGACAGGGTCTTGCTGCGTAGTGCAGGCTGGCCTTGAACTCACTAAATAATCTATGCTGCCTCTGAACTCATGACAATCCTCCAGCCTCAGCCTCCAGGATATTGGGACCAGAGGCATGTGCCACCATACCTGGGCTCTTTTGACTCCAGAGGTGTTTTAGCCTTTAGATGATTTTTTTTTTTAAACTAACTGTTGCATATCATAGTTTCCCTCTGAAGAGTTAGGATTTAAGTACATACTAATTATTTACCTGCTTACCCATATGCTATTACTATTCCTTTTAATCTTTCCCACTGATTTTCCAGTCGAGGAAAAAGCAGAGAAAGAAAAATTAATGTTTTTATTTGTTTAAAATGCTTTATTTTTTGTAATTTTTGTAGATTACTATCTACAAAAAAAATAGCGGAATCATCAGTTTAAATCACTTTTCAAATACCCTTAGATTTCTGTAGGGACTTAAAGTTCAACATGTCAATATTTGATGAAAAATACCTGTTCCTTATTATGCCTAAGTTGTTTGAAATGCAGTGAGATAGTGAGGTTAAGATTGATAGCCCAAATCGTTTGATAATAACAATAAGCTTTTCTTCTGGATGGTTAATAACCTAAGTTTGCAGACCAAAATTAGAGAAAAAGGAGGGATACAAGGAAAGCCAACATTTTGGCCCTAGCCTTCTAAGGTCAATTAAGACTCAGGACATATGAGAACTTGTACTGTAACGTCATGTACCTCGGTAGTGTCCCAAATTTTCTGATCAAGAAGATTATGGGGCCAAAGAGGAAAGTGATCGATGACATAGAGTGGGCCTAAGGAGAGTCACATGGGGAGAAGATACTCTCTCAGGCTTTCACAGAGAGCACAATGGCCAAGCATTGGCTGTGACTCTTCCACATGGCTGCACTGATAAAGGTTCTAAATCTGAGGTACAGGATCTCAGGATAAATCCTGAGGGAATTTTACTGACCTTCTCAGACCAAAAAGCTACAACTCTTGTTGCATAGGTCCTGCTTTACCTTGGTCTTAACCATCCAGTAGAAAAGTATGAAGACGAAATTATAAGAAATAAAGCCATGCTGTTAAGTTGAGCTGTGGGGGACTCAGGTCAATAACTTCTGACATTGGCAGTTAAACAGAAGACCCAATGCTAATATGGGCTACTGGACTCTTTTAGAATATTTTGCTGAGTTTACACACCTATAATATTCAATAACGGAACTTAGAAAAAATGGGGTATACAGATGAATGTCCATTTTGTATCTGTGTATTCAAAGTGGTTGGGATAGATGTATAGTTACATTCTGTTAATGAATAGAATGATTTGTTCTAATGGAGTTTGTAAATAGGATCACAAGTCCGCATCTTGTACAGCAATTAACCACTAAGAAGAATATATGCAGTGTATTATTTGTTGAAAAATTTAAAAAAAAATACCCTTAGATTATTGTACAAGCATTCACATCTGTGCTGTTTGTTATAGATGGTGGAATCATTTCTCTGCCTTTTTCAAATCATAGAGGAAAAATTGCTCACTCAGTACTAAATAGAAGACAGTAAACTCCCTACATGAAGAAATTTTTTGACTTTGTTTTTTGATCTTATGTATCTGGCATGATACTTAGTACATTGGTGCATTTTGGTTACTTAATACATTCTTGTTGCGTGAGTTCATAAAGACTAGGATTAGAGATACTGTACTTATATCTGGATCCACAAATAACAGTATATTATAGGCAAATTGAAAACTGTACCTTCATTAAGGCTTAGTTGTCGGTTTTTTTTTTAATTTTTTTGGTGGGACCGGGGATTGAACTCAGGCCCTTGTGCTTGGCAGGGAAGTGCTTATTCCACTGAGCCATCTCCCTGGCCCCTGGTTGTATATTTTTCTCTGAAGTTTTTATAAGAGATTTGTATTTTGGGGCTAGCTTTGGTTATGTGTATATTATAAATCATTCCTAAACTTAAAATAACAACTATTCATTTCTTCTGCAGATGTTAATACCAAAAGCCAATAGTATATCACATTCAACTGGCAAATAGTCTAGTGTAGGCTTTTCCATCTTTTGGTATAGTCTCAGAGCCTCTTATCTTCTGTGTCCTGTCTAAGTTGATGGCCAGACTTGCATGATGATTCAGAGCTTTCTGTCATATAAAAATGGAAGCCACCTGCTCTTTTAAACATAAAAGCCTCATGTTAGTACAGTATGTCTTCTGCCACAATCTGTTCATTAAACAAGTCACACATTTAATTCAGAATAAAAAGAGAAGAATCAGATTTATAAGTTTGTATATTGAGAAGCAAAGTTTGGCTGCCAATGTAACCAGACTACATTGGGTGATTTTTGTTAGCTTTATTTTTTTGCCACTATTAACTTAGATGAATGTACTAAGTACTGTTAGAAAACTTTGCATGTCAATAATCAACTATACTTTTAGGTATAAGTTAAATTGGCCTCAGTATTGGCCTTCAGTTTTTGCTTTTTATTTTTTTAGTATTGTATTCTTGGCAAATAATTCTTTGTATTCCAACTAACCATTAGGGATGCTGTGCAAGATTTTCTTCATGAAATATATTTTTTACCTGATCATCCAGAATTAAAAAAGATAAAAGCGGTTCTCCTGGAATATAGAAAGGTACTTTTTAAATTATAGTTTGGAAGATATAGATACAAAATTACTCACAACTTCTAATTTAGTAAAGCCCTTTTGAAATTAAATGTAACAATAATATAATTACATTGTTAGCCATTTCCTTGTGATTAGATGATTCCATAAATCCATGACTTTTGGAGGAAAGTTTTAGCATTTAGATCAAAGATGTATAGCATTTGATAAACCAGAGAGCAAATACTGTTCTTTAACTTTTGATATTTACATCAATAAATCTTTACAGTTCCAAGAAAGAAGTTGCCCAAACTACATGCCGTGCCAGGAGAAAATGAGCCATGAGATGATTCTAGTTTTGTTGCACTTCAAATCTTGCTGTAGTTATGTTGGGTCTAAATGATTCTTAAACTTGAGAAGGGCAATAATATATAGTTCGAGCATTCTGAAGTTTATTGAGCTCTCTGAAATTATGAAAAGATTAATGATGATTTCATAGCACTTCTGGGCAGGAAGTAGGATACCTAACCTTGGATAGCACATTAAATAATGAAAGAGAGTTGAATTATTTATAGTCTGTATACTTGGTTCAGTGCTATAATATAACCCTCTGTAAGTTAGGGGAAGCTTGTATTTTTAATGAAAAATTATTTACTTTAAATAAGTAATTTTTTACTTAGTTGGGATAAAATCTTTTTTCAGATCTAAACATTTTAGAATAAAATCCTTTTACTGGAGAATTACTAACAATTACATATATTTTGATAAGGAAGAGATGGGAATTTTAGCATTTTTTAAAGCTAATGTTATTGTAGTATAGTCTGACTGCTTTAATGGTAAATATACAGGAAATTCAAGCCTTCAGAAATAGTTGTAAACATAATTAATAAGATATATCTCTGCTCTTTTTATAGGAGACCTCTGAGAGTACTGATCTTCAAACAACTCTTCAGCTATCCATGAAAGCAATTCAACATGAAAATGTAGATGTCCGTATTCACGCCCTTACCAGCCTTAAAGAAATTTTGTATAAAAATCAGGTAAGTTCAACTCACCACAGTTATTATGTACTACAAACATGTACTAATAAAAGACATTTTTAAATACTATAACTTTTAATCATCTAATAAAGACATTCGTAATATAAAAATAATTAGGTATTTTAAGATGATGTAATTTAAAAGCTATAGGAAAGAAAGCTTATGTCTCAGTTACTCATCTCATTGCTGGAACAAATACCTGACACTCAAGATTAAGGAAGGAAAGATTTATTTAGCTCGCAGTTACTGGAGGTTTCAGTCCACACTAGCTGGCTCCAAGGCAGAGCAGGACATGGCAGAGAGCAACCTTTCATGGCGGCAGTAAACAGCAGGAGCAAAATGGAGGAATAACAGCAACAGTGGCAACAGAGGAAGTCTATCTCCCTTAAATTGCATTCAGGCTATCTGCCCCAGGCTAGGTGTAGTATTCCACCCATAATCCCAGTAGCACTCAACACCCATAACCCCAGTGGATCATGAATTAATCACAAACTCCAGAAATCCCCCCCATGACTGCATGAGGCTCTGGGGGGACAACTAGACACAACCATAACAGCTTAGATATTTGAATAAAAGATAATAGATTGGCACTTTTAGTTGAGACTCAACAGATGTAGTTTTGAGGCTCAGTTGAAGATGTCATTTCTCATAGATTATCAAATCTAGGAGTCTAGATTTGGCCACAAGATGGCCATTAGCCTGAGTCCTAGAGTTTTGTTGTCAAAAGGTCATGAATTCATTGTTATGTTTAGCATTTGCTAAATGTTTCTAAGATTCATGTATTTGCATATCAACAATCTCTATGAGTCTTCAAGCATAATTTTTATAGATATGAAAAGTCAGTAATTTTCTGTTTTACTACTCTGAATTAAAAGTTTTAATGTAAAATTTTAACTTTTCAAGGAACCAATTAACTTTATTATTTTATTTGGTAATATAGTATAGATTATCCCTAACCTTGATGATAGTGAAAACTTCTGTTTAAAATACCAAATCACTATAAATGTATAAATTAGAAAAAAAGGGGCTGGTGAGATGGCTCAGTGGTCTAAAGCACCTACTTAGAACAAGCTTAGGAAAGCACAGGGACCGCGGTTCAATCCCCTAGCACATGCCAGCCAGCCCCGCTCCCTGGTGGGCTGAGCTGGCCACACACACACACATACATACACACACACACACACACACACACAAATAAATAAATAGATAAAATTTAAAAAAAAATAAATTAGAAAAAAATAAACTGAGCTAAATTTTTCCATATCAGGAACATATACAGTAAGAAATAAGGGCCTAACGACCCTCATAACTTACTGGAATAGAAAACTAGGCTATGTTTCCTTCCGAGATAGAAGTATTTACATAGCAAAAAACACATACATAATGGTAGTGAGTACATATGATTTCTGGGGCAATGAGTATCTGTAACCAAAGTAGCAGCCAACCTGAAGAAGACCCCACCAGATGTGAGGAGGCTTGAATTTCCTACAGCTTAGATGTTTTACCTTTCTGATCGTGTATCCACACTGTGAGAGTCGTACCCTCAGTGCGTGCCCTAAACTGAAACTACCCCAAGGGTGGCTCTTGCCCCAAACCTCTATATACATTTCATATAATTTAAAGGACTTACAGTCTTTTAAAGGAATAAGTCTAATTTATAAAGTATCTCTTCTTGGCACAGAGGTTTTCTTGTTTAGGTTATTTCCAAGCAGATAGCACATTTGCTAATGTAGATGACTTTGTAAGGAAACTTTTGTCTCAGGCATCATCTGCCAGAGTGAAATTAGCAAGTCTGAGAACTCAAGCTAATTTCTTGATTATTCCTAGGGAAAAGCTACAACTGCTTGTCATCTGCATTGCAAAAGTTATATTACATCTGATAATTCCCTGACACATTCCTTCAATAAAGCTCTAATACTAATAGATTACCCAGCAGAGTAAGAAAAGAAGGACTCTTGCAGGAGTCATAGGACAAATTTAATAGTCACTGTAACACTGTTAAGTTTTTTTGTTTTTTGTTTTTTGGGTTTTTTTGTGGCCAGCTCAGCCCACCCTGTGTGCGGGGCTAGCATGGCATGTGGTGCCATGGATCAAACTGCAGTTCTTGTGCTTGCCTAAGCAAGCTCTTTGAGCTGCCAAGCTATCTTGTTGGCCCTAAAAGGCATTTTTAAAATTAGAATACATTTAGTTTAACATCTGTGTATAGCTGGATGGATTTACTATAGGTTGGTAAGAAGAAAAGTAAAAAAAATTAGATGGAAAGAGCCCAAAGGATCCAGGAGTTTCTGGCTGACAAGTGCAAGGTCCTGAATTCAGTTCCAAGTACCAAAAAAAAAAAAAAGGATACACAAGAAGATTAAAAAAAGAATGAGAACCTAGAGACAAATGTGTTCCCAGCCGTAACCCAGCAGACACCAGTGTATAGCACCTAAGAGTAAAAAGAGAAGGAAAGAGTTCTTTTCCAACAATGTGGCAAGAATTAAAATCAAAGTTGAATTAAGCCCTAGAATAGTGCTATCCAAAGGAACTGTCTATGAGGATGAAAATGTTCTATGTGTATACTAATAGCTACGTGTGCTCCCTTGAACATTTGAAATACAAGATTAAAGAACAGAACTTTTTGATAATGGGGTGGGAACATAATTTTTTTTTTTTTTTTTTTTTTTTTTGGTATGGAAATTAAACTCAGGATGTTGCACTTGCCAGGCAGGTGCTGTGCAACTGACCTGTATTCCCAGCCCAAGAACAAAAATCTTTAAATTAAATTTTGCTTAATTTAAATTTAAATAGCCACATATAATTAGTGACTATTATATTGGACGTTGCAGCTCTGTGAGACTGCTATTTTGAAAATACCAAAGCATGGCCCTAGCAAAATAATGGGATGGGAGGTCAGAGTCTCTTGTAGCGCATACTATCAGAGTACACAAGAAACAAATGCAAACAGTAATTGTTTTAGAAGTTCATATCTTTGCCACAGAGAGAGGAAAAAATACCTTAAGAATGTGTTGAAGCCCTGCATATGTGGAGACTGAGGCAGGAGGATCACTTCGAGTTTGAGGTCAGCCAGGGCTACATAATTCAAGGGCAACCTGAATTACGTAGAGAGACACTCTCTCAAAAAAAATTTTTTTGCAAGTGTGTTAAAAGGAGGTGTCTATTTAAAAATAGACCTAAAGTTGTGAAACAGTTAAGCAATTGAATACAATGTAGCAGCACTTACCAATTCCAAAAGATGGTGTGAACATCAAGATGAAGACCTGTGTAGCCTTATATACATACATAGCCTTATTTTGGTGGAACAACCCTTAAAAAATTGCTGTACTGACAGCTCCTAGTCAGTGCCACTGAAGAGGAGATGCCTGTGTCTTCTCTTTAAAGTAGAATATACATTTTGAAGGACTAAAGGACTGCTAAACCCAGTGGATGGCAGAAATTTTACTTCTGTGTTAAAAAATTAGGCAAGGGATCAGAATAAGAAATCATATATGTCTGATGCTGAAAACTGATACTGTCAAAGTGAATGGATTCCATTGGCAAAATCCCAGGATAGGCTTGTAAGAATCCAGAATAGGGCCAGTGAGATAGCTCAGTGGACTAAATGCCTGCTTAGGCAAATGTGCAGGGACTGGGGTTCTATCTTTGGCACCATAGGCCATACTGGCCCTGCCCCCAGGCTCACTGAGCTGGCCACACTCTGGGCATGGTGGCACATGCCTATAATCCCAGCACTAGGGAGGCTGAAAACAGGAGGATCATAAGTCCATTAATCTTTTACTTCGATTAATTAATTATTTTGGTACAGGGTTTCACTACACAACTTGGATTCGTGGTGATCCTCCTGCCTCAGCCTCCCCAGCACTGGTATTATAGGCATGTTCCACTGCGCCCAGTTTCAGGGCCAGCACAGTATGCCTGGGGTTCTGGGACTGGTATAGCATGAAGTACTGGAGATCAAATCCAGGTCCTTGCTCTTGGCAGGCAGGCATTTGGACTGTGGAGCTATCTCCCCAGCCCCATGTATAAATATTTTAATTCTGAATTTATTGATACAGCATGAGATTAGTACAAGTTATCTTTGGTCTCTACAGTTACAAAAGGTATTCAGAGTGGTGGCCATCAGCTTCAAGAAATTTATTAGTATGGTGAATTGCTGCTTGGGCAGTCTTGGTTATTGAGATTTCTGCACATACATTTTCAATTCCTACTGGCAATGTACTGGGTTTTCTGTGATATATGGCATTTTCTAGGGTAGCACCATCTGTTGAAAAATCATCATGCTATTTTTCTTTTCCTCAAGTATGTATACATTTTTGATGTGATATGTACACATGTATATGAATATATCTGTGATTTCTAGTGTTAGGGATTGAACCCAGAGCAGAGGTATATTCCATAAAATACTTGTGTAAATGTATAATGGGACTCCTGTTTCTTTTTATTTATTTATTTTTTTTGGTGGAACTGAGGATTGAACTCAGGCCCATGTGCTTGCCAAGCTAGCACTTATTCTACTGAGCTATTTCCCCAGCCCCATAAATGTATAATGGAAAATAAGCTAAAAGCAAGGTTTCCCATTCCACTGCTATTTAACATTTAGTTGGAGGTATTTGCTAATAAATTTAGACTAGGGAAAGCAGTCATAAGCCTAATAAGTAGAAAAGAGGCAAAACTTCCTCCATTGTTAGATGATATGGTAGTAAACATGGGAAATTGTAGAGAGCTACATATAATGCTTACTCAGACCATAAATGAGCTAATTAAAATAGAATACGATACTAATACGTAAAGGTCAGTAATCATAGCCAGGTGGAAAATTTATTGGAAACTTCATTTACAATAGCATGAAATGGTAATATAGCTGGGAATAAGCTTAGCAGGAAATCCATGAACTTGAAATACTTCTGCAAACTCAGAAGTCTATAGATTTTGGTTTTTGTTCGTGGTTTTTTGTTTTTTTTTTTTTGTTTTTGTTTTTTTTTTGGTACTGGGAATTGAACTCATAATCTTGTGCTTGCCAGGCAGGCGCTGTGCCACTGAGCTAAATTCCCTAGCCCAGAAGTGTATGGATTTGCACAAATGAATCCTTTATTGATTAATTCATGAATTTAGTGGAACTTGAATAATAATGCCAATTTTTGTTTTGTTTTTGTTTTTAAACCTAGGCAGTACATCCAGAAAAGAGTTAGTGAAACAATGGAATAGTTCTTTGAAAAGATAAAATTGAAAAACCCTCATCCAAACCAAAAATGAGAGAAAACCAAAATGTGAAAAAGAAATTATTACAACAGACACCACTGAAATGGCAGAGCATCATTTGGAAATATTTTAAGAAATATGCCAATACATTAAAAAATTTAGTAGAAAAATGGACAGATTGCAAGAGCCTATAAATCACCTATATAAATCAATAATAAGCAATGAAATTGAAGCAGTAATACAACAGCTCCCAACCAAGAAAAGCCCAAGACTGGATGGATTTACTGCTTTTACCAGACATTTAAGGAAGAGTTAATATCATTACTTCTCAAACTATATCATAAAATAAAAGAGAATGAACTGGTTCAAACTTATTCTCCAAAGCCAATAGAATAACTGCAGATCAAATTCAGCATCAGGGAATGGAATAATTAATACTGTTAAAATCACACAACTGAAAGTGATCTACAGATTCAGTGCAAATCACATCAAAATGCCAGTGACATTCTTTGCAGAACTAGAAAAAACAATTGTAAAATTCTTAATAGAAGTACAAGCCCACCTATTAGCCAGAGCAATTCTGAGCAAAAAGAATGATGCCAGAGAGTGCAGAATACCTGATTTGAAAATATATTACAGAGCCACTGAAATAAGAATATCCTCATATTGGCATGATAGTAGACATAAGGGCCGGGGATATAGCTCAGTGGCATAGTATCTACCTGGCAAGTGCAAGATCTTGAGTTCAATTCCTAGTACCACAGGAAGAAGGATGGAGGGAGGGTGTGAGAAAAAGAGGGAGAGAAAGAAAAGGAAGCAAGCAAGCAAGCATACAAATCAGTGAAATAAAAAACCCATACATCTGTGAAAAAAACTTACTTAAACCAACATGTTTTTTCTTTGTCTCTTTTATCCTACTTTTCCCAAAAAAAGAGGGCCAGCCAGATAGCTCAGTGGCCTAAGCCTCCTGCTTAGGCAGAGTGCAGCAGCCCAGGTTCAGTACCCCCCCCCCCCCCGCATGCCTTGCTACCCCACCCCCGGGGCACGCTGAGACAGTGATTGAGACTGGGTGTGATGGCACACACCTGTAATCCCAGTGCTAGGGAGGCTGAAAACAGAAGAATCATTGAGTCCTATCTATGTAGTGAGACCCTGTAGACCCTGTACTAAATATAAAAAGTATATTTTTCCATTTTTTCTCCTTTTCTACTAGTTTTATATACAGTACTTTTCAAATTTTTATCCCAATAGTTGTTCTTCCTTATTTGCTAAAATATCAGCCACCATCCTAGACCGTTATCAAGTACTTTTTCATCATCATTCCTTTTTTGTATTTGTCATTGTACATACTTTATATTTTCATTATGTATATACACATTTTCCCAATAGTTTGAATTTGTTGAGATAAGACTCGTATTCATTTTCATATACTGACATAATAGTGAATGGGTCACTAACATGTTCAAGACACTTAGTGATTATAATCATATAGAAACATTTCATGAGGGGCTGGTGAGATGGCTCAGTGGTCTAAAGCACCTACTTAGAACAGGCTTAGCAAAGCACAGGGACCGCGGTTCAATCCCCCAGCACCACATGCCAGCCAGCGCCGCCCCCTGGTGGGCTGAGCTGGCCGCACACACATGCACATAAATAAATTTTTAAAAATTTAAAAAAAAAAACATTTCATGAGTTATACAAACTCACTAAAAATTAGTTGAAAAAATTGTAGAAATTAATTTTGTTAGTGTTTATGTTATAGATTCCTTAATATCCTTATGCTTTTTGGTTTAATACAGTGGTGGCAAACCTACACACATGCTGTGATGGGCTGTTTATGTCATTGAAGGCTCTAATAAAAGACTTGCCTTCACTTAGGAGAAGGTACTAGTTTATAGACATCATATATAAACTTTCTTCTTTTATTTTAGGAAAAACTGATAAAATATGCAACTGATAGTGAAACAGTAGAACCTGTTATCTCACAGTTGGTGACGGTGCTTTTGAAAGGTTGTCAGGATGCAAACTCGCAAGCTCGCCTGCTCTGTGGAGAATGTTTGGGGGAGTTGGGAGCAATAGATCCAGGCCGATTAGATTTCTCAACAACTGAAACTCAAGGAAAAGATTTTACATTCGTGGTAAGGAGTGGTAATTTGACATGACAAGATTTCTTTGTTCATTGAGCTTTATGTTTCATTTACAAAGAACATTTTAAATTATTCTTCGTAACAGCTTGATCTATATCAGAAAATTTGGGTAATTCTAATTTTATCTCTTAATACTTACTGTGAAACCCTTTAGTCAAAAGCAGTGTAGTTTGAGCCCAATCTAGTATGCTACGCTCTTTCAATTAAAGCTTCCTTATCTAATTGTGATAGTACTTGAAATGTAATTATTTAAATATTACTATATAAGCACTGTTACTGCTCTTTGCATGGGAAACTAGTTTCCTAGGATATTTTAATAGTGTGTGTTTATAAAAGAATTTTTTTTTTTTTTTTTTTTTTCGGAACCAGGGATTGAACTCAGGCCCTTGTGCTTGCCAGGGAAGTGCTTATTCCACTGAGCCATCTCCCTGGCCTAAAAAGAATTTTTGTAGTTAAATGAGTTTCAAAAATCTCTGTAAAAGAATTAAAAAAGAATTAAAGCAAAGTTACTGTGTCAGTATATGTTCAGTTAGAAGATTTATTGGATTTTTTTTTTTTTTTTGCTCTGAATGCCTTCAGGGCAGGTTTGGCTGGCTTGAGTTGTGGGGATCAAACCACATCAACCTGAGCCTGACTGCTTTGTTGAAGCAGCCACTTAAAGAACTGAGCTAAGGGGCAGGCCCCCTAGAAGATTTATTAAAATTATTTCTTGCAGCTTCTCAAATGACTCAGATTCTATAGAATATAATTTGGGAAGTGTTTCATATATAAGTTGCTTTTGAAGGGGTACAAACAATGCAAATTACCAGAGCTGTTTAAAAGTTGAATGATTCTACTATAAAGAAATGGCTTAAAGAGATTTAGACTTTGACTTTTTACTATAGATTACATTCTAGCCTTAGTTGAACCTCACTATTTCTTTTTCTGAACTAGATTTACTTAGGAAATTAATTCACCACAGGAGGCACAGTTTACCTTAAAACAATTTATATGCCAATTATCACCATTTCTTTCTGTTTTTTTTTTTTTGAGACTGGAGTAGAAGATTTGAACTTTGCATATGGGTTATTGATGGAGTTAACAAGAGCTTACCTTGCATATGCAGATAACAGTCGAGCTCAGGACTCAGCTGCTTATGCCATTCAGGTAAAGTGCCCATAGGAATCAATATTGGCTTTATATTAATGACATTTAGTGTCTAGTAAGACAGTTGTAAATTTCATATTTGTGAAACACTTTAGCTATCATTTTCATCATCAAAATAATGTAAATTTATCATACGTGTTTTAAAGAGTACAAGAACTATATTTTAATATTTTATTATAGGTACCTCTGCATATTTTTAGTATACACATAAATTTTTGGATTTTTACCTCAAAAGAAATGTGATTATATTATTCAAGATACTCTTTTAACTGTTGATCAATGCAAGGTGATCATAAAATATGAATGCTTAAATTAGAAAACTTACTATAATAAAAGACATATTGTCACTAATCTCCCTCAAAATAGTTGAAATACTCTTGCTTTGAAGACACTTCTTTGACTGTTTTTAGCAGTGTGCTTTTTTATATAATGATACTTTTAAAAATTAAACAGCCGGATGTGATGGTACATGCCTGTAATACCAACATTTAGGAGGCTGAGGCAGGAGGATTGCCATGAATTTGAGGCCAGACTAGGTTACAGAGTGAGTTCAAGGCCAGCCTGAACTAAATAGCAAGATTCTACCTCAAAACAAAACAAAATTTAAAACATTCACTACTTTTGATTACTCTTTTTGTTTTCTCTTTTCTTTTTTTTTTTTTTTTTTTGCACAACTGGGGATTGAACTCAGGCCCTTGCACTTGCCAGGCAAGTGCTTATTCTACTGAGCTATCTCCCCGGACCCCTGATTACTCTTTATATCACCAATTCATTTTTTTTTTTGCAGTACCAGGGATCAAACTCAGGACCTTGCTCTTGCCAGGCAGCTGTTTATGGCACTGAGTTATCTCCCCAACCCTCATTCTTTTTAATGACTTAATGATATTCAGAATGAATATACCATAGTTTATTGAAGAAATTTACTTAGAACATTTAGTTTTTATTCAGTGCTTTGTTTTCACAAAAAATAAAAAAGATTCAGGAAACATACATACATATATTTTCCAGGAATAAGAATTGAAGATTAAGAATTTATTGCTCATGCACTTTCAAATAACATGGAGGTCATTGGTTACCTTGACGAGACTAGTTTCAGTGGAGTATGTAAATCCTTAAAGAACACACAGAGAAACTTCAGAAACTCTTGATGAACATTGCTGCCAAGGTGAAGAAGTAGCTGGGGAGATAGCTCAGTAGAATAAGCACTTTCCTGGCAAGCACACAGAGCCTGAGTTCAATCCCAGGTTCCGCCAAAAATAAAATAAAAGTAAAAATCTGTTTCCTTAAAAAAAAAAAGAAAAAAGAAGTAAATGGAAGAGTAGCTGGGGAAGAAAGAAGAGTAAAGATAGATTTAAAAAAATGTATATTTTTTATGTTCCCTGGAATGGTTCATCAGAGAAAAGTGATGATATAGGAATAAACTGATGTTTTTTATTTATTTAATTTTTTTGGTATAGGGTACATAATGCTAAACATGCAGTCAACCACTGAACTACATCCCAGCTCTGATGTAATATTTTGAATAGGCACATAAGTATGGAATATAGTGTACAAGTAGAAAGGATAGCTTTAATTTAAAGCAGGAATAATTGAGTTGTCAGAACAAGAAAAAAAAAACATGATAAGGGCACAGATAACATAGATTTTTTTTTTTAAACTTATGTATTTGGTACAGGGTCTCGCTTCAAACCTTGGCTCATAGTGGTCCTCCTGTTTTAGCTTCCTCATTACTTGAATTACAGGCATGAGCCAGCACATTGGGTTTCAGTGGCTGGCTAGGTGGCCCCAGGGCAGTGCCCTGCAAAGCGTGTGGTACTGGGGATCGAACCTGGGTCCTTGTACTTGCAGTGCAGGCACTTAGACTGCTGAGCTATCTCCCTGTCCAACTTATATAAATTTAAGAGTGAAAAGTTTTGCAGGGTTCCTGACTACGTTTTTCAATGAAATGAAAAACCAGACCTTTAAATGATTTTTTAAAATTTTTTTTATGAATTTAGTACAGGGTCTCACTACACAGATTGGACTCCTGTTTTCAGCCTCCCAAGCACTAGTATTACAGGTGCACGCCCAGTCTCAATAGTGGGCTCAACATGCCCTGGGGCAGGACTGGCAAAGGATCAAACCAGTCTTTACATCTGCCTAAGCAGGTGCTTCAATCCGCTGAGCTGTCTGGCCAGCCCTGAATGTGTTTTTAAGAATGTAAATGATCTTGAAACCAAAAAGAGAATTGCTGATATAGTAAGTCTGTTACTGGGAGATAAGAGGATTACTTTTAGAATGACTTTATAAACATCAGAAGCTGCTTCAAAATTTTCATAACATTTTGAAGTTAAGTGAAAACTAGAGTTTAGGTACTTCTTTATAAACTAGTTAGAGTATTTCTTAGTTTTATTAAAAAATACTAAGTATAAATGTAAACTACATATTTTATCAGACAGTGCTTTTATTTAATAAGTATCAGGAAAACCTCTATTACATATAAATTTACAGTTGAATGAGAAGGCATAGTAAGTGATATGATATTCTAAAATGTCCCATTTTAAACATAATTACTCAGAGACCAAGCTTTTTTTTTCTTAACTACAAAGTTCTTTAAAAAAAAAAAAAAAAAAAAAAACTAAAATGGAAAGTTTAACCATTTAATTTCTGGGCCTAAGTAGTAAGTAAATTGGTCCTTAACATCTATTTTCAGAATTTTAAGCTCTGTATTTTATATCTAGTATTTGAAATAGCCTAAGGTCTTACTGTTTGAATTTATAATTGCTTTCATTGTAACTCAGAAAATACCAAATTGTAAGGATGGAGGTGCAGCTCGGGTGGAGCTCATGGTTAGCATGTAAGGTTCTAAGATCTATCCCTAATACCAAAAGAAAAAATTCAAGGAATATAATTTTACAAATATAAATTAATCTGACATCACATACTATCATAAACTGGTTTCAAGTGCACTATAGTTTTGTAAATAAGTTACATAAATGGTTTCAGGCATTGAAATAAATATCCTGTGGAAGTTCCCCACTGTAACTGTATGATTCTTTATTTTGCTATGTATTTTTATCTTATTATATACAGTACACTGAATAGTAAAAAGGTTTATCTGCTGCACTGTAATCTTATGAATATAAAATATGTATTTGTAGGAGTTGCTTTCTATCTACAACTGCAGAGAGATGCAGAGAGACGGCGCAGGTCACCAGCTGTGGAAGAGATTTCCCGAGCATGTTCGGGAAATACTAGAACCTCATCTAAATACTAGGTATGAAGATTCATTTCAACTATTTTAACAAGACTTTTTCAACTTTATAAAAATCAGTATTTTTTTTACAGTTTTCTAGCATTAAAAATGTTCTTAATCCAGTGTGGTAGCACACACATATAATTCTAGCTGTTCAGAAGGTTGAGGCAGGAGGATCACAAGTTGAGGGCAGCCTAGACATCTTAATGAGACTGTTTCAGAATAAATATAAAAAGAGCTGAGTTTGTAGCTCTTTCTGTTAGAGCACCTATACATTGTGCTTGGAGCCCTGGGTTCAATCTTCAGTACGCTAACAAAAAGAAAAAGGTAGTTTTACTGTGTTTCTGAATTTATTTTCCATTGTGAGTTATGCTGTACTCTTGTTAAAATGAGAAGTAGAGTGTCTTCACTTGGTTTAATTCTCTAACTTTTAAGTATTATACTATGTCAGTGTTACTTTGAAAATTTTTATTTTAAATTGAATGTGTACTGACACTCCTCCATGTACCAACATGCCTAGCTATAGTTTTCTTATTTTGAAAATGTGGTTAATTTTACTCATTTCATCTGATCATTACTAAGAACAAATGAGATAGTGTTAAAATGTACTTAGCAGAGTGTCTGACATTTAGTTGATAATAATAAATGCTTATTCAATCTCAGCTTGTTATATAAATTCTTGGGCCTCATGGGGTGTTTGTAAGGAAGACTCTTACCTTCTCCTGAGAATAGAAGCCAGCATTTCTGCGTACTTGGGCCTCATGGGGTGTTTG